CTCCACCTGCTGCTGCAACTTACACTGAGGCTGCCTGCCTGATCTCTCCCTCAGTCTCATAAGCTCCACATGTAGCCGGCTACATGCATTTCTCCACCTCTCCCTCCTCCTCCTCCCTGAGCATCCTCCTCTCTCCTCCTCTCCCCTGTTTAGGGTTTCCAGGGCAATCAGCAGAGAGAGAGGACCAATCAAGGGCCGGGGACCAGGGGCAGCCTCCTTGTCATTGGCCCTGCTGGATCTTTCGAAGCTGGAGGACGTGAGGGAATTATCTTGAGCTGGGAGGGGAGCCAGAGAACACCCCCGACAACCTGGCAGAGAGAAGAGGAGGGAGACCACAGGAGGGAGGGTGACAGGCATGGGGAGAGAGGGACTCTGATATATGGGGGTGAGAAAGAACATACAGGGAGAATAATAGGCTTAGAAATAATAAAAAGAGAGGTGGGGGTCAGCAAACAGCTGCTGAAGAGAATATAGGAGAAACAGGTTACAGTAGCAGGAATTAAACAAGAGAGAAGAATGATTATTATGGCAGCGTGGTGGCTTAGCACTTATACATTGCAGCACTGGGGTCCCTGGCACTGGTTTCCCTGGAACTGGGGTCCTCAGCACTGGGGTTTACAGCACTGAGTCCCTAGCACTGGAGTCCTGAGCACTGGGGTTCTCAGCACTGGGGTCCACGGCACTGGGATCCTCAGTACTGGGTTTCTCAGCACAGGGGTTCTCAGCACTGGAGTTCTTAGCACTGGGGTCCTCAGCACTGGAATCCTCGGGACTAGGGTTCTCAGCACTAGGGTCTTCAGCAATTGGATTCTCAGCACAGTAGTCCTTAGCACTGGGGTTCTAAGCACGGGGATCCTCAGCACTGGGGTTCTCATCACTGGAGTTCTTAGCACTGGGGTCCGCAGCACTGGAATCCTTGGCAAAAGGGTTCTCAGCAGTGTGGTCTTCAGCACTAGGGTTCTCAGCACTGGTGTCACTGGCACTGGGATCCCTAGTACTGGGGTTCTCATCACTGGAGTTCTTAGCACTGGAATCCTCGGCAAAAGGGTTCTCAGCAGTGTGGTCTTCAGCAATAGGGTTCTCAGTACTGGGGTCACCGGCACTGGGATCTCTGTTACTGGGGTCCTCAGCACTGGGATCCTCTGCACTAGGGTTCTCAGCACTGGTGTCACTGGCACTGGGATCCCTAGTACTGGGGTTCTCATCACTGGGGTTCTCATCACTGGAGTTCTTAGCACTGGAATCCTCGGCAAAAGGGTTCTCAGCAGTGTGGTCTTCAGCAATAGGGTTCTCAGTACTGGGGTCACCGGCACTGGGATCTCTGTTACTGGGGTCCTCAGCACTGAGATCCTCTGCACTAGGGTTCTCAGCACTGTGGTCTTCAGCACTGGGGGTAACTGGCACTGGGATCCCTGGTACTGGGGTCCTCCACACTGGGGTTCTCGGCACTGAGGTCCTTGTCACAGATGTCCTTAGCACTGGGATCATCAGTACCAGGGTTCTCAGCACTGGGTTCTCCAGTACCAGGGTTCACAGCACTGATCTCTCCAGTACCAGGGTTTTCAGCACTGGGGTCCCCAGTACCAGGGTTCTCCAGGAACAGGTTTCTTGTCACTGGGTTCTCCAGTACCAGGGTTCTCAGCACTGAGTTCTCCAGTACCAGGGTTCTCAGCACTGGGCTCTCCAGTACCAGGGTTCTTAGCACTGGGGCCCTCGGTTTCAAAACCGACGAGGACACTATCTGCATGGAGTTTGCATGTTCTCCCTTTGCTTGGGTGTGTTACCTCCGGGTCCTCTGGTTTCCCCCCACACTCCAAAGACATGCTGAAAGAATAACTAACTCCTTTCTAAATTTCTAAAAAAAAGTCCCTAGTATGTGTGTGTATCTATGTATGCATATGAGACAGGGACATTAGATTGTAAGCTCCTTGACACCGATGTGGATGTACAGTATGCATAAGCTGTAATCTGAAGTAAACTGATGTATGCTGCGTGAACTGACAGCACTGTATAAATACCTGTAATTAATAAATAAACATATGAGGCGCTGAGGAGATGAGAAACAAATAGGAGTGTGTGAGTGAATGACAGAGAACAGGAGCTACATAATAAGTACATGGCTTGATATAGACACGGCTGAATATATTTAAGAAGATAGGGGGCGATAGAGAGACCGCAAAGATCACACTGAGCAGTCACTGTGTACTGTATGTGTGTACCATGTTGCCAGGTTAATCCAGGAGATAGGGCTATCAGGGGAGATCTGTCAGTCAGGGTCAGTCACAGAGACCTGATGTGCTTACATAGCTAATAATGCTCCACAGATTGCAAGCTGACAGATTAGGAGCCGCAGGACACATAGACTGTCAAGTGTCCTGTTCACAAGTCAGGGAATATCTCTTTATGCAGCTCTGCACACTTATCAGCGTCATTAATTACTAATGTAGCTAAATGATAGCGATGATAGCCTCAGCAAATATTGGCTTCGCTAACAGCTTTCTAAATGGGTTGATACTGGGGCTTTTTTTGTTATAAATGGTTTGATCTACATTTGGTCAACATAACCCTGTTTATACGGTAAGTGAAACATATTTATTTTTTAACCTTTGAAAAGCCAACATGAGCTCCTGCTTATGAGCACAGTATCGCTCCATACTGAGGTTGGATCTAGAAACATGAAAAATGTCAATGATAAATTTGAACCTGAACTCTGGGAATTACACAAAAACTACCCTTACAGGCCCCCCCCCCCCGCACTGCAAGAGTTAAATGCTCATTAAGTCTAGGGGTAGAGGATTTGGGTGCAATACTAACCTTATCTCTTACTTTGGCAGGCCCCCTCTTACTGTGCAACTGATCCCCAAAAGCCTTTTCTCTGCGGTTAAGCGCTGACATCAACCAATGCATAGCCAATTATACATGGTGCGAAAGGACAGCGCAAGCCCACCAATAACCCGAAGGTTAATGAGGAGTAAGGTGAGTGTCAGACTCCTTTTCCTCTATCCCTTGGCTTAATGAGCAGTTAACCCTAGCAGGAGGGAGCACTGCAAGTTTGTGTGTTATTCCCGGAGTTCAGCTTTAATACACTACTTTTAAGTGCAGAACGAGACAGTGACGGACATACGAGTATCAGCAGTAATAGGCTCAATTTACAAAGCCAATACACAAGGATGAGGATCATTATTTTCAGCCATGTGATTGTAATTTTCAAATCTCATTGGTCTAAACTGACACTTTTGTTTTTGAAAATAAGGATGTTTGTCCTGATGTATTCGCTTGTGAATTGAGTCTGATCAACAAAAACCAGCTCAATTCACAGGCATGTGGTAGAAAATATCTTTATCCTTGTCCGAAAACCCATCTCTGGGAAAACAAATAGTACCCTTGAAGTGGGACCCCGCACTGCAGGGGTTAAGTGCTCATTTTTGTCTAGGGGTCTAGAATAAAGCAGATGTACTTACCTGACCCCCACACCTGTTGGCTGCCTTAAAGAAGAACTCTGGCTCTTAGAGCACTGAAGCGCTCCCTCCAGCTTCTGTCCCCTTCCTCTCCAGAGATAGAATGTCCCTTGGCGTCCTCACGTCGTATACATGTATAGAACGAGATGACTCATGGGATCTTAGACCGCTTGAGAAGAGGGGGAAAGAGGCTGAAAGGACAGCAAAGCACAGGTTTAATTTAGAATAAAGGTGGTATTGTGAAGAACAATATTTTTCAATGCACAGCTGACTTCCTGTCCTGAGATCCCATAGTAAGCTACTAACTGTCACTTTAGTCACTCAGATTAGTCCCCCACACACATTACATTTTGATTGTACAATTTCCTTTAGATCTATCAACAACTATGTAGTGCAAGGGCCTGCCTGAATGGATACAGATTGGTTGGATAGTTTAGGTAGGTCCTCATGTTACATATTCTTGGTAAAAATAAAGTTGATGGTACAAAACTTGTATGGTCAGATTGTAAAATGTCTGGTTATCCTAACATGACACATGACAAGGGCAATAGTGTTCACAGCAAAGTTCCATTAATGTCAGATATCTCAGCTCATGTACAGATGTTAAGTTGTCCATTAAAGGAAACGTGTACAGAGTGAATATGAAGGGTAACGGGAGGACACAAACTAGCGTCCTCCCGTCACCATAAGCTCAGTATACCGCGAGCTACAGCTCGCAGTATACTGAGACGCCGCAGCTGAAGCGGATCCCGACAATTATGTCTGGATCCGCCCAGCTGCGTGAGTGACAGCTGGCTCTGCCCATCTAGAGGCAGAGCCAGCTGTACCCTCCCCCGTCCCTTAGGGTTAGGAACGGGGAGGGGGGAATCCAGTCACTCCCCTGTCACGGCAGAGAGCTCACTTCCCGATCTACTGAGCCGACCTGTGACAGTTTCATTGTCACAGGTCGGCTAGAACTCACCTCATAGTTCTCCTTTAAGGGAGGGTGAATCTTAATGTTTTTAGCCAGAAGTTTGCAATTTTGCAAACTTCACGTATGCTTGGGATTCGCTGAAAACCCATGATAGCAGCAAACACATGGTAGCTGCGAACCCTAACCTCATCCCTAGTTGTAGTAAAGGGGCGAGTAGCTGCATGGTTCAATAACCAAGCTGTGTGCAATTACAGTTGATAAGCCCATCTGCTGTACAGTGCTTTGTTCCTTTTCACAGAGGAGAGAAAACACTGGCTGGTACCAGATCACACTGTATGAAAACATTCAGCACCTGTCATGGCAGGTGTGTGCAGGTAGGCCAGGTAAATCCAGCTTTGGAATAATTAGTGAACACATTAGACAGCTGTAAATTACTTCCTAGAACAGAAATTATTTATATATCCAGTTAAGTTACCTCATTGAGGACAGTTATGTAGCCTTCGCCCCTGAAAGAGCTGCTGGAATTTATTGGCTCGCCTACCCTTCCTGTTAGGGACCCAGTCTGTATCTGCACCCAGCAACACCAGCACTTTAGAGGCTTCAATTAGGCTTCAATGACTGCAAATTTAAAGGTTTATTTGCTCAATAACTTAAGGTGGCCATACACTTTACAACTAGGGATGTCCCGATGCCACTTTTTCAGGCCCAAGTACAAGTACATCCCCTCATGTACTTGCCGATACCAATTACCGATACTTTTTCTTAAAGGGACAGGTGACTTTAAATGA